CGTCCATATATTATATATAAAAATTATGATTGGTTGCTAATTTGATCACAGAGGGGGGAGGGGGTATGACCTTATAAAAAGAAATTACGTAATAAACGGCACTTCCCTTATTATTAAATAAAAAAAAAAAAAAAAAAAAAACAAACAAACAAACAATATTTTAACCATAATTTATTATCATTCTGTTGTTATAATGAAATAAATAATGTTACATATGATAAATTAAAATTATTTACAAACTTAGAAATGGTGAAAAAAATAAGTGAAAACAATTTGATAATTACAATCGACAATAATAATTATCAGTCAGTTTGCTATAAAAAAAATAGCATAATAGCATTTTAACCAACATCGTTGAATAATAAATAGAATATTCTATTCGACATGTCAATAAAACCAAATAAATAATATGAGTATGCGTATCATTGGTACCCGTACTTACCCGTACTCTATATCAATTTCCCTTTCCCTTTGAAATCGATGAATTGCTTCATCGGTTACATTAGAGCATCCTACAATCTCTAATGATTGTAAATTAGAATCGCGAAGTACCTCAAATATTCTGTCATTTACTGACTGTGATTCACAAATAAGCAAAGTATGCAATAAAGGACATCCTTTTACTAATACTTTAAAGGCATCAAGGTTAAATTCAAAATTATTAATATTTAATTCACATAAATTCCGACACTTTCTACCAATGCTTTCAATCAAGTTAGACATGTCAAGTCCATCCATGTTGGAATCTATTTCTAATCTTTCCAAAGATTGTCCGATCGAATCTAATAAGTAGCATATAGAATTAATTTCCAATGGATGAATATTTCGTTCAAAATGGCGAAGATTCGTGGCATGTCGGGCCAATGCTTCTATTCCAGCAGAGAGATTGATATACTCAATTTCATTCTCCGGTCGTATAAGATGTACACGTCGTAAAGTTGTCGATGATTTTTTTGCAATTTCAATAAGCACTTCAACAGGCAATGGAGTTTTCGAAAAATCTATGTTGTGAAACTTACAGTTTTGTGCGATCGGCATTAAAAGTTGTGAAAATGATGTGTTCTTTGTAAAATGTATATTACGCATATAGAGTGAACGGAGAGCACATTCACCAATGCCAGTAAAAGATGTCATGCAATCCCCAAGATTACAATTGAGAATTCGGAGCTTTACAATGGATTTTGATTGCGATCTTATCGCATCCATGGTTTCTCTCATTTCAGCCGCATCACGTATTTTAAGTTTTGTTAATCTTCGTTGTTTCCTTAAAAAATTTGCCAATGCTTCATCCGAACAATTAGAGGCTTTAATTTTGAAAGTTTCCAGTGCCGTACATTTATCAGTAAGGATTGCCAAACCTTCGTCATTACAGTTGAAAAAACCCAAATTCAGATAGCGCAAACGAAGACTCCGTTTAAAAAGGGTTCTTACAAGTTCATCCAAATGTTGCAATGTTATTGGATACTCGGTAGTTATTTTAGATTCATGAAATGTACATTCTTTAATATTTGCTTTTTCGATAAACCTTTTAAGAAGCTGAAAAAATGTACAGTTAATCGCCAATCTCATATCGTCTGTTATCTCATTTGTTGATGCGTACCATGATTCAATACAATGATACAAAACAGGAATATGAAGGTTTTCTGCCATCGAAATGTAATCACGACTTGGAATATATATATCCTGTATGTTTTCTCTGGTGTAAATCCTTTTTAATAATGGTTCATCTCTGTTCCCTCTATTACTATTTAAATTAGCAAGCAATGAACTTTTAAGGCATAACAAGAAAATATTTATTAATTTCTTTGCTAATAATGAACCACGACGGTTAAAGCAATATCTCCATGGATCTTTATAAAGGTATCGAATTGCCAGATTATTCCACTGTTTTAAGAATTTTTATTTTATTAGTTTTTTTAAAAAAAGAAATCAAAATGACGAAGAAAAAAATTCACCTTCCTATCCACAAGTGCAATATTAAACAATGTATTTGCATTGTCAAATTCTTCGGCAATTTTTTCGAAGACTTCAACTAAGCAATCATCATTAAACATTTTACTTTGAAATGAGTTGTAAAAATCGAGTGTTAATTTATGATTTTTCCAATGACATCAAATTTATTGTGAAAAAAAAATATTGAAATGGTGAGTGAAAAAAGCAAACAATAAATATAAAGTAAAAATCTCTCAATGACTTGTGTGTAACTGTTTATATACACAACGGTCGCCTTTGTGATTTCTATTTCTGATTTGACTAAATACTTGTCCTACTGAATTATTGAAGTCCATTTCTATTAAAAGTAATTTTATATAAAAATGTTTTGGCGCTATATCAATCGGTCACACGTCACTATGATATTCATAACAAAACGCATTTATAATCATACATATATATTATTTTTAAGCTTTAGTTTCGAAATCTCGCATGCTGCCAAGGGAAAAAGGTCGTTCGGGCTTTAAATATAGTGAAGTCCGAACGGCCTTTTTCCCTTGGCAGCACTCATGCGATTCATTTAATTTTATATTTTCCTTGAATAATATAACAAGTCTAAGCATAAGTTATTTTGTGTGATATTACTATGTAAATTATTGTTCTTACCGTTTATCTTTAATCGGATCATCAAATGTAATAAATTTTTGCATAACCTTCAATTTCAACTCAAGAGAAGTTTAGGATTTCACGTTGCCGAAACTTAATTTTGTTTTACAGCTGTTTTCATAAATTTTGGATAAAATGACCGCTTCGATAAACCTTTGATTTGGGCGTAATTAGTATATATATTTTTTAATATAGCGATAATACCCTGAACTACAATGTTAACACATTTAAAAGTTTTCGCTTGAATGCATGTCCGGTATACATGTATACGTTTGGTGTGTTTAGCCTTTACGAAAATTTATGTTCTTTCCAACCAACAGATTTTAATGCATTACACAAGCAGACGCTAATAAAAATAAAAAGTTTGATATGAACAAATTTCTAAAAAATTCCAAACAACCAAGATTTTATTAGTAGTTGTCGCAAATGCAATGAAAAATTATAATCAACAAAATTAAAAGTTTTAATTTAGGTTATTGAACGAATTAGATGAAACGGTTGATCTAACAACTAAGGGGCCTTTTACTTGTTCGTCTATAATACATTTTAAAAATGTCTAGCGTCTGAAGTAACTACTTTTGAATCTGAAATATAACTACAACTTATCTGAAGAAACTAAATCCAACATCTAAAAATGTCATCAAAAGATACGTACATAATCGAACATCACAAACTTGCCAAATTCGGTCAATTTTTCCCGTTATGAAAAGTATGAAAACATAAAAGGTAAGAACCCGCATATGAGTTCCGTCAGGGAAAAAAAACCTGTCATTGGACTTTCAATTATATTTTGCACCGGACAAAATCTATCAGTCAGGGAAGATGTCACATATGTTTATATATGAGTATAAGTTTTTTTTTTTTATTTTTTTTATATTAAAGGTGAGGTCTTGCTCGTATCTTTATTTAATAATTTATATAAGTGATTACATAAAGCTATAT